AGAGAGAGAGAGAGAGAGAGAGAGAGAGAGAGAGAGAGAGAGAGAGAGAGAGAGAGAGAGAGAGAGAGAGAGATGCAGAACACACACGCGGTTAACCGAGGGTCAAAAATTCGCTGTTTTCGCCGACAGTTTCGGTGCACAATTCAGTGAAAACACTGAAAAGTTCAAAAACAAACTGTATGGGCCCATAGTGCAAACATCAGAAAAAAACAAACATGCCAAAGAAAACAAACAAAAGCACACAATAACCCTAACACAAAAACGCTTTCCGAGGAAGGATTTGGTGAAAACTAGTGGTGGGTACAGCTGCAAACCCGCTGTTCTGAGGGTACCGCTTACTAAAAAAGGCCCCCGTGCAACAGCACAGCCACTGTTTTGAGAGGCACTATATGCAACAGAAGTGTACCCCTCAGTAAAGGTGCTGTTTTGAGGACCGTATTTGCCAAAAAGATTTGGGGAGGTATCTGCTCTTGGCAAATGACTGGAATGTATGGGGGCAGAAGTGAGACTTGTCAAATAGAGAGGCATGATCTGTGTTACCAGAATCGCCCGTCCTGGGCCGACCCGCCCGGGGTACCCGGGCAACACCAAAAAGGGGGTCAACTTTTTTTTTTTTTTTTTTTTTGGCAGTGGGGCAAGACGTGCCCGAATCCGGCCTTATCTTTGAGTTTGGTGATATCTCACCAAAGGGTGTCTATGGGGTATAAGGGGTGTTCGAAAGGGCTCGAAGGGGCTTAAAGGGAGCTAAAGGGGTATGATATAATTCAGTATTTTATTTTTATTTTTATTTTCGTATTCCATAGCGAATTTTGTGCTCACCCTCAGGCAAAAGATGTTTGGTAACTCTGGTTTGCAATTATGCATGACATAATTTTTTTTCCAGATTTTTTTTTTTTTTTTTTTTTTTTTAGCTCTAGGACTGCCCGGGATCTTGACCGGGACTTTGCCCGGACCTGGCCCGATCGGGCCACCCGGGCCAATCTGAGGCATCCCGGGCCGCCCGGGTATTAACACAGGGCATGAGAGCATATGCCATTTTTCTGTGTATTTCCTTTCTTACTTTTTCCCTCTCAATCCAGTGAGATTCGAACTTGGGATTCTTGTTCAGGGAGTGGAGGTGTGTGCAGCTCATCTACTTGCGACAAATCCCAACAAACACGGGCTGTGATCTCTTCCTTTCTTTCCACTTCTTCTCCGTTCTTTTCTCTTTTTGCTGGGTTTCAATGATGGCTATGTCTAACTACCCGTAGTACTTATTACTTACTACGAGGTAGTTATCTCGTTTTCAAATTTGAATTCTGCACTGCTTAACAGGACAGAGCTGCAGAGCCTGAAGTTATTCAGCTCTGCATGCACATGGGTACAGGCCCTGTTACGGACTTCGCCAGGGCTCGATCCCTGGTCTATCTTTTGCTGTTTTGGCTGCATCCCGTTCTCGGCCTGGCACCCTTTTTCCAAACCCCTCCTTTGGTACCATAGGATTTTGGACAACTGGCGCCATGCTGCAATTCGGGCGCCACTTTCAAATACTGCATTTTTCAGTTCTGCCCTCGGGGCCTTTGCAGAAATGCCCCTGGTACGGTACGTGTCACCGGTACTTATACCGGCTCCCCGTACGGTACGGGGGGCAGTCTCGTACCAGTTCTCTGCTGCTGTACTCGTACTCRGTGTGACTTGCTGTTTCGGCATTCGGAATCCAAGACTTCGACTTTGTGCCTTACCACTGTGTCTGCGTCCGACCCTCAGTCCGAGTCCGTCGAGTCGAGTGAGTGAGTGTGTGTGTGTGCTCTCACTCTTTCCCTCTCTCTCCTCTCCCTCGGCTCACCCTCAGCTTCATGCCCGTTACAGGCCCCTTGTACTGAGAGGTGAGTCTCTCCTGTTTGACACTGTGTCTCCTCTTCTGAATCGGTGCAGCCTTGGGAAAACGACTGAAAGCTGCGGGAAGGCGATTCACAGGCACGGGATCATATGGTGACGGTGAACTGCTCAAGGTTAGCACTATGGGCTGGAGGAGTGATAAGATAAGACCCCTCAAACAACTATAAAAAATTGTGAAGATATTTTTGAATGTTTGGAGCTTCAAGCCACAATGTCCAAATTCAGAGCTTTTGCCACATGATTACTCATATTGGACTCAAATTCTGTCCTCTCTTCGCTTATCAGTAGCATTGAGCAGAGAGTCTGAGACAACAAAGAGCTAAAAAAGAAAAAGATTTGTGGATGCTCCCTCTCTCTCTCTCTCTCTCTCTCTCTCTCTCTCTCTCTCTCTCTCTCTCTCTCTCTCTCTCTTTCTCTCTCTCTCTCTCTCTCTCTCTCCATAAGCACCATGATGCACTTGTGAACATCATCGTCGGTAAAGATAGTGCTTTTTAGTTTGTAGCAGTTAGAACTCACAAGATGTCAACATGCCCACATGCGTTGGATGGAAACTTCTATGCGGGTTTGAAACGACATGTGTGATGAAGTTTTTAGTTCATCGTGGACTCACACACACACACACACACACACACACACACCATCACTCACAATAAGCTCTCTGCTCACTGCCACTCTGTGATGACCCAGCTCATATTTGGTTAGCATGTGATCAGCATTGCTTGTGTCTTGAGTACTATGAGGGAATGATCCATGCAAGTCTTTATACAGGCAGTGAAAAGGGTCAGTCAGGTTCACAGTTCTTCCTTGTACTCTTCGACATCATTCTCTGACCGAACTGTTAACAACTTAAGGGTGTAGTTAACGCAAAATTTATTTCCATGCCTTGTTTGTTTGGATCGTCCTCAATGCTCTCCACACAGATTGGGCGGGCGCTAATTTCAGCTGGTGAAATTGTCGCTCAAGGGTGCAAGGAAGCAGGTCCTCGGACGCCGTCCATTGCATCGAGGACGCTGAAGGTACATCCCCAGGTCCCCAGGCCGCACCGTCCTGCAATTTTGTGCCCACGGAAAAGAGAGATTGTTTAGTTGATTTGTTGGAGTCCTGTTTGCAAGGTCCTTGTTCCGGAATCGCTCAATGAGCTGAACACTGTTGTCTGTTTTTGGTTTTGTGGTGGTTGTCGTCGTACTTTGAGCATTTCTCAATTTGTGTGCTGATCATCCTCGAGGAGGGACCATGCTAATCAGTCCTCTCTTCTGTTGCTTTGATGCTTGGTTCAATGTGGTTTTATACATAAAGGATCAGAGTCTCTCTCTCTCTCTCT